ATCATCTCACACCAGTCAGAATGGCCATCATTCAAAAGTCCACAAACGATAAATGCTGGAGAAGGTGTGGAGAAAAGGGAGCCCTCCTACACTGTTGGTGGGAATGCAGTTTGGTGCAGCCATTGTGGAAAACAGTAGGGCGATTCCTCAAAAGACTAAAAATAGGCTTACCATATGATCCAGCAATCCCACTCCTCGGCATATATCCAGAGGGAACCTTAATTCAAAAAGATATATGCACCCCTATGTTCACAGCAGCACTATTTACAATAGTCAAGACATGGAAACAACCTAAATGTCCATTGACAGATGACTGAATAAAGAGGCTGTGGTATATTTATACAATGGAATATTACTCAGCCATAAAAAAGAATAAAATAATGCCATTTGCCACAACATGGATGGACCTGGAGACTGTCATTCTAAGTGAAGTAAGCCAGAAAGAGAAAGAAAAATACCATATGATATCACTTATATGTGGAATCTAAGAAAATGATGAACTTATTTACAAAACAGAAACAGACTCATAGATGTGGAAAACAAACTTATATTTACCAGGGGGGAAAGAGGGTGGGAGGGAATAAACTGGGAGTTTAAGATTTGCAAATATTAACTACTATATATAAAATAGATAAAAAAACAAATTTCTTCTGTATAGCACTGAGAACTATATTCAATATCTTGTAGTAACTTATGGTGAAAAAGAAAATGAAAATGAATATATGTATGTTCATGTATGACTGAATCATTATGCTGTACACCAGAAATTGACACAACACTGTAAATTGGCTATACTTTGATAAAAACATATACACACACACACACACAAAAAGAAAGAAAAGAAAATATCATTGAGTGAAAAAAAAGATCAAACCAAACTTCAGAGATACAGCTTTAAAAAGTGATTTGGGCCTTTACAGAATTGTCTGAAAATACTGAATCAAATTTATTGAAATTGCATTGTTACCTTATTTTTAAGTTAAATTGATTTACTTAAAAAGTAACCAAAGGACCAAGAGTCACATTTGGTTGAGTGGCTAAAAGTACAGACTTGGAGCCAGATTATCCAGGTTTCAAATACCAGCCCCACCATTAACTAACTGCATGATCTCATGCAAGCTACTTGACTTCTTTATGTTTGCTTCCTCATCTGTAAAAAGGAGATGAGGACAATAGTAGTATCCACCTCAGAAAATGCTGTATTATAATGCCGTATATAAATGAGGAATAAATCAATTCAAGTATATAAAGCAATCAGAAGAATGTTAAAAAGGAAATAAAATGGAGAGCCATGGAAAATTCTTTTCCTTAGCCCTCAGTATTCAGAAAATTTATCTTTCACCCTAAACTATTTATTTTTATTATGAAAACATTGTGAGTCTTACAAGTGACTATGACCTTTCCTTTATTGTGGCAAAATACAAGGATACGTCTCCACTTCTTCCACCAGGGCCCACAGGAGACAAAACTAGCTGACTTCTCACTGAAACCTTACAAAACTTCAGATTTTTTGCAAGTAATCCAGGTAACCACTACTACTAAGTCAAAGCCGGCACGTAAGCGAAACCCATCACTCTCCCTGGGCTGCAAGTACTCCTTTCATTAAACCACCCTGCCTTCCAGGTGGAAGAACACCAAGACCAAAGAAACCAATACAGAGCATGTTTATAAAATAGCAAATATAAGAAGACAGCCTAGGTTTTATGCTTATCAAAACTTAGTAGTAACTTATTGTGTGCCAGGTGCTTTAAAATATTAACAATTAATATTGAATAATACAAGCTTCATAACAATCTTTTGAGGTAGACACTATTGTCTCTATTCACAGACAAGGAAACCGAGGCAGAGAGAAGTTGGGAAACATGCTCAAGGTCACACAGCTAGTAAATGCTGCAGAAGAGGCCTCTCTTTGGGAGTAAGGAAGAAAGAATGTCAGAGCTGGGCTTTAAGAGGACTGACCTGCTAGAGGAAGCAGGATGAACAAGGAGTAAGCAGTAATAATTACTATTACATGTTGAACACTTACTATGTGCTAGAACTCTATTGAGTGTTTACATACATTCCATCATTTAATTCTCACAACTATTTGAGGCCAAAAAAATAATGCCGGTTTTACAGATAAGGTAATTAAGAGTCAAGGAAATTAAGCAAGGACACATAGGTAGTAAGCAGCAGGGCTAGGACTCAGACCAGTTTTGCCTGACTCCAAACCTATATTCTTTTTTTCTTTGAAGTATTGTCAGTTTACAATGTTGTGTTAAATTCTGGTGTACAGTATAGTGATTCAGTTATACCTATATATATTGTCCTTTGCATGTTCTTTTTCATTACAGGCTATTACAAGGTACTGAATATAGTTCCCTGTGCTCTGCAGTAGGACCTTGTTGTTTATCTATTTCATAGACAGTAGTATGTGCAAATCCTAAACTCCCCTCCCCACCACCTTTCCCCCCAGTAACCATACGTTTGTTTTCTATGTCTGTGAGTCTGTTTCTGCTTTGTAAATAAGTTCATTTGTGTCACTTTTTAGATTCCACATAAAAGTGATATCATAGGCAAACCTAAATTCTTACTTGCTCACAAAATATGACTCTATGTGACATATACGAGAAATAGGAATGAAGAAGGAAAACTGATGTAAGATACATGGTAAAGAAGGAATCTATAGAGTTTAGTGACTGTTTCAATGTATGAGAGAAAGGGAGGGAGTCAAAGATGACTTAAGTTTGAAGTGTCAGTAACTTGGGGATAGTGACACTGTTCAAAGAGACAGAAGTCAGGGAGAGCCAGCCTCTGAGAGTGCAGTGCATTCATGCTTAGATAACACTCATTCCAGGGAAGGAAACTAGTATGGGGAGCAAAGTTTTATCATTTCATATTAATTTATGCCACTCATCAGACAGATTTTCCAAAAACCCACGCTGGAACTCCTGGGTCTTAACAGATTTTTTTCTGTCCTCCTTTACAGTTTGAACAATAAACATGATTTTAAAAGTGAAGTCAGAAGGAACAATTAAAGGTGTTAGTTTCTTAAAGAACAGGGTATTCTTTTTCTCTAGGAGTTTCTGGTCTGGGTTTAATCCTAAAGCAACCAACACACGCTTCTGCACAACAGCCACCAATATTTTGGCATGAGATATGCAGGAAATATAAAAATGGGCAGTTCCATCTCAGCAGAAATAGAAGTTCCACTTTTTTGTGAAAACTTCCGTTTCTTCTACACCCACCACCACTACTATCAACACAAGATAATGAGGGGAATTTTTCCAAGGGAAAAAAATTCACGATTGATAAATATGTCAGGTTTCTGCTTTTAATTAGTTGTAAGATCTATGCAAGTAAATTGACTTATTTGTGCCTCCTTAGTTCCCTATACAAACTAGGTAGGTTGGCTAGATTCAATGTAGCTCAGATACAACATGTACTAACCCGGTCTTATGTTTCTTTATATTTCATTATTCAGAAAGGTAGAAAGGAGGGACCAAAGGTCTTCAGCCTAAATAGAACATTAAAGTTGAAAGTATTGCTACAGGTCATTTCATGCAATGCCCTCAGTTTATAAACCAAGAAAATGAGGCATAAGGTCTTGATTCAGCTGGTCAGCAACAAGGTCCCCGCTAGAATTGAGATCCTGATTCCCAGTCTTGTGCTTTTCCCACTACACCACAGTGTCTTTTCTAACCAGCTGGTTTAGAAATATTTGCCTTGGGTGAACCCAAAGGGACTTACAGGAAAAAGACAAACAAACAAACAAACAAACCCCAAAAATCAAAACAAAAAAACCCCACAAAGGGTCACTGACCTGAGAGAGATTTATGTGTAGGACTTAAGGTGCTTAACAAATGAAATCCCGTGACACTTCAAATGCGACATAAAAGTATCAGACTGTGTTATGTGCTTTTTATAGCACAGTATAATGGCGAAAGCTTCAGACAGAACTGGTCTTGCTGCTGCAGACAGTGTATAACCTCAGAAAAGTTACTGAAGACTCGGCTCCTGTGACTACAAAAGGGAAGTGATGGTACCTTTCTACCTGGGAGTGCCCACGGCCAAATCTACATTTGGTTCCCACTTTAACTTTGCTGCTGAAAAAGCAAAGGAGAAAAAAAGATGTTCTGAACCAGGTAGACAGGAAAGAAACTGGATGAGAGAGGGTACCAGCCAAGTCCCCCATCAACAACCCAAGTGCCCATCATCAACTCCCTCTTTCTTTACTGTTGACCCTAAGAAGGATACAGAAATAGAGGGACAGCAAATAGAAAATTCAAATATGGAAACTCTAGAGAGAGTCAGTTGGCACTGCCTAAGGAGCTGTGTGCAGAAGTACATACTGCCCGCCCCAAGGGCTGGCTCTGCTCACAACCTCTGTGCTGAGCTGCGAGGCTTAACACGACCATCTGGTGGATACCTTAGAATTCCTAAGAGATGGGCACTAAATGAATACAGAAAAGACTAATAGAACGAATCCATGGTTTTTATAGATCAGAGTCTTTTTACCTTCCAAACAAGAGTGAATGAAAAGATGAAATTAACCAAACGCCTCCTTTAAGGCAGAACAATCTGGAACATAAAGCAGCTGTGCATTCTGAACATTCAGAAGCATAATCCCTGTGGCACTTGGGTGTGTCAGGTCTTCCTTTTCTTAATGACGGGCTTTATGATATTCACAATCCCAGGTCCAATATACTTAGTAAATCTCTTACTCTAAAATGAATTTCTTTTTGAAAAAAAACACACTAATATTCATTGATTTATTTATTAATTCATCAGCAAATATTTATGAGTGCCTCCCACGTGCCAGGCACTGTTCTGGGTGCTAGAGATAGAGCAGCGAATGAAATAGACTAAAATCCTGTGCTCATGGAGCTTACACTCTGGTTGAAACTCTCTCCCTCTTTATTTTCAAAGTGCCCAGTTTAATGCATATTTGTTGATTGGATGAATGATAAATAATATTTGGGGTAATCTGTGAGAATGAGATGAATTATAGTATAAAGATGGGCTGTGAGCTATATAAAACCTAAGATAAACTATATATATTTTATAAATCAATCCTTGAATTTCATCTCATTCCCCTTCAACTCTCTTTTTCTTTTCAGCTAAAATGCTACAAAATAAAATAGAGGTAATTCCTAGGAAGTGTTTCTCCCAAGGCACTGAGTATAAACTATCAACAAAGGAAAAGAGGCTCTTTCAAAGAGAAAAGAAGAGAGAGTCTGGTAATGATCACCCGAATACAATGAAGTCCGACACGCTTCTGTGCCAAGCATCAGAGTTTTTAAAACCTAATGAAGTGGCATCTCAAAGACCAACAGTAAAGCAAGTACCAATCTGGCTGAAAACTTACGTCAAGGAGGTTGAGAGACGATCTTCCATAGCTTGGATTTTGGGGCTCCATGTTGGTTGCAGTTAACCTGAACCCATCAGATTCCTGCTGCCCTCCACTCAGTGGCATCTTTGTTTTTATGGTGTCCTAGGTGGTGCACTCTGTGGAGAGATGGGTCAGACAAACCCTGGTATTTCATACTGCAGTCAAGCATAAAGCACGTCATTTGCCTCTGGGAAGTAAGTTATGACAATAAAAAGCTATGAAGGAAAGCACCTCTTAGCATCAAAGGATGTTAACAAATATCGAAATACAGACATTAAATCCTGGGTGATTATTAAAACAAATATCCAAAGAAATGTCATCATTGGATTAAGCCGCCTCTCACCCTCCTCTTCTAAGCTAACTGGATGAAAGAGGTTTATTATCATACCAGTTAAAAAGAAAAGAAAAGAAACATCAGAACACCAAAGCACACAATATTTGCTAGCATGAATAATGCTACCTTCACCTCAGGGTAGCTTCTCCTTAGAAGGCAAACCAGTAACAAAAGGAATGAACTTGGCTTTCTTTGCCATCACTCTTGAGCAAAGTACCATTTGTATTCCTATTGGCTACATTCATATCCAAGAAAACAGCTCAAGCCAAACAAAAGTTTTCAAATAATACCAAGGATATTCAGGTAAAAAAAATCATAAAAAACATAATCATGAACAAAAATAGAAAATGACTTTATGAGGTCCAGAGTGAGAACGAGAGACCTCCACCCTGAGGAGAGTAGTAAGAGGCGGGTCACAATCCTGAGTCCCTCCTCGCTGGTCCTCCCAGGCAGCCCCTCACAAGAAGGATGACTTCATTAATACCAATGATAAAGCAGTTAGGGACAGTTCTTGTTTAGTTAGAGAAACCCAAGTAATACGGAGCAATAGCTCTAATACATATATTGAAAGAACATGTTCAAAACCATTGTTATTTTGTGAAATGTCCTATATCTGCTAAAACGTCCTGTATCAGAAAGGCTTGGGGACAAGGAAATAGATGGTGTCGGGTGAGCAGATATAAAAGGAGAAGAGAAGGCATAAGTGACACTTTTTAATATTTTTGTTGACTAATTCTAATCTTTTGCTTTTTAATACCTTCAAAATATTTCAAGAGTTTTGGTTCTTTCTCTTTCAAGTTTTCATTCTTCTCTCCAGTTCCCTTTATTGGCCTTTTCTCCTTTCTGTACCTATTCCTTCTTCTTTGTCTCCACCTTCTCCTTGTGGCAAAGCTCCAAGTTTCTGTAGCCAAGAAAGGAATGAATGATGTGAGAAAGGAGGCTGAGAGAGTGATTAGGATTAGAGAAAGAACCATTGATCGCCCTTGAGCCCTGGTTCTGTGAGAATGTCTATATGACCTGGCAAGAATGATCACAGAATGTGGCAGAGATGGACACTTAGGGAAGAAAGTCCACCATTATGAAGTCCAGTCATGAAGCATGTTAAAACATAGTCATTTGTTGCACCTCCATACATTCCATCATCTGGATTAGATATTTACATAAAAGCACACAGGAAGCTCTGAATGCCAAAGGGTGTGCAGGAAGGAGGTGACTAAGAACAACAGCTCGACAGTGACCCAAAAGCCAGTGTTTAAGATGGACAGCCTGTGTTACGAACATGCTGGTGGGAAGTGTGGCTTCCCAAAACTCTTTCTGATAATTTGGAAAATGCATGAATATTGTTCATCTTGGAACACAGGCATGATCATTGCTGGCATTACAGTGACTAAAAAGAGCCACTGTATACCCAGGAAAACAACCTGATACATCTAGTCATAAATGTACACTCTCCATCTATGAGGAAAATATAAAAGAAAATATGCAAACAGAATATACAATAAAGAATGATAAAAGAATATCTTGAAAGGTACCATTATTTTTATTTTTAAACTACTGGGGATGATTTGAAGTGTTAACTTCTTTTCTTTACCTCTTTTGGGTCTTTTCACTTTTCTTCCACCTTCAACCTGCTCCTGAATTCATGCACATAGAAAATTATGTGTTTGCTGCCTTCCTAGTAGCTTTGGGGCAAGACAGAAAGTAGAACTGGCCTGCCAACCTCTTTCATTACTCATCTAGGACCTTAAGAGAACACAGTGGTTTTGTGAAGGGGATGAAAATCTCTACACTAAACAGAGAAAAAGTGTCTTGGCCAGAAGTGAAAAGGGAAGAAGACTGTCATAAGTAGAGACGTCCCCTGCTCTGAGTTGGTGGCTGAGGGGAGGAGAGAGAGGAAGGTCTGCAGGTTCTGAGAGCAAAACAAAGCTGAGCCCACATCTTGCTAGCAGACTAGCGCAGCAGCAAGGCCCAGAGAGAAAAGGGCTGTCTGCTGGGTCCGGGCTGATATGGATCTTGGCTCTGGTCAGATGACTCTGGGCAAAATATTTAACCTCTCCCTGCCTCAGACACTTAATCTAAAAAAGTGAGTAAAGTGAGGTTCATAACAGTACCCAACGCAGTGAGAGGACTAAATGGGTCACAGATGTAAAGCGCTTAGAACAATGCTTGGCATGTAAAAAGTGCTGAATAAATGTTGGCCACCATTCTTATTGCAGTAAAAAGGACACCCTACCATTATGACCACAGATTTTTTTTTGTCATTAGAATAATACGTAAATGAGAAGTATAGTAACAAAATGCATGAAAACATGAGCTTGTTTCTATCATAGTAGGAGTCAGGTTCTTTTGAAGTAATCACAGGGCATAAGAAACAATTCAAAACCACTGCAGCAGAGAATGACCCTTAAGGAACTGATAAATGAATGGGGAAGATAGGGGAAACACAAGTCCAAGTTCACCCAGAGACCCCTGAACATACTTTCTCACACCAGAGCTAGTGACTGGGAAATAACCAAGTATGAGTCCAACAAGGCTGCTTAATTTGAGGTGGCTGAGAGAGGAAGGGGGTTGCCTTTCAGTTTGGGGAAAAGGCAGCAGAGTAAAAAATCTCAACCTCTGTGAAAAAGTTTTGCCCCATTTAGCAAATAGAACTAGAACTAACTAATGAACCCGGTTAATTTATGAGTCAGTACTTATATTTTCAGTCTTGTTTCCTAGGATCAGAGCTACAAGGTTTACTAATCAGTTTACTAATGTATCAGAGAATCCCAACTCATTCACTCTGAAACTGACTTTTATTAAAGGAAATTTAAATAACTTACCCACTCACCTAAGTCTGTAAGTCCAGTTGAAATGAAGTGGGTGCCATATAAAACTGGCTTTCCTGGTTTTCTAAGCATGTTGGTCACTCAGTAAAAGTTATATAATGAAATATACGCTTGTTCAGGAGTTTCCAAATTGTCACTCTGCTTATCGTGGGAAGATGCTTGGAAATCCAAACTCATTTCTTAGTTCGCACTTATTACTGGTTGACTGGGGGCACTGCATGTTTTGGTAGTCATGAAAATAAACATTGGCCCTAAAGTCTAAAGTCAAAGCCAATGATGTTAATGATAATCAAGCCTTAAGAGCACTGAAATCACTTAAAATACCCTCCTCCTCCTTAAGCTCCTAGGGCTTAGCTTCTGAAGGGATTAATGAGTAAAATTCAGATTGCCGGCTGGGGAAAAATAACTGTGCTATCTCAGCACGTTTGGAAACAGTATGTGAGAAAGCCTTGGAGGATGAGAGAGACGCTACCTTGGAAATGTCTTAAGTCAAATGGAATTGGGAACCTAAGGCTTCTACAGACAATGGTAAAGCAGTAATAATGTATACTCTTGTTTTCAGTTTAGCTAAAATCTCCCCACTATGACCTTACTTCTACTACTCAAAAACTCCCTCAATTTTCCCAAGCTGAAGCCTACACATCTGTATAAAATTATACCAATCTTTTCTTACTTTCCTTTTTCCTAACTGAGGCCATTCCTCTTCCTGTGTTCTGGATGCCCCCAATTGCCTTCTCTCTTGTCTGTTCAATTCCTAATGCCCTTGTCCATGCACTGGATCTTTTCCATCAGCTTTCAAACATACTCAGTCTCCTTATCTCTAAAAAAGCCTCCCTCCCTCAACCCCACCTTCTCCACTTGATGCCACTCTATCCCTGTCCTGCCCCAGCCCAAACTGATAAAGGACTTGCCTACTCTCTGCCCTCCTTTTCTCGCCTCACACTCCTTTTTAAACCTCTTTGATCGAACTTACATTTCCACTCCCCTGAAATGACTGTCACTAAGGTCACCAGTGGTCTCTAGGTTGTTAAACCCAGTGCACATTTCAGCAATCACTGTACCTGACCCCTCAGGAGCATTCAACACGTTGATGACTCTGTCCTTCATGGAACACCCTCTTCTCTTGGATTCTATTCCACCACACATTCCTTGTCTTCCTTCTACCATTCCTTCTCAGTTTCTTTTGCCAACTTCTTTTTGCCTCTAGTCACCCTTAAACTGCTGGAGTTCCTCAAAGACTAATCCTAGCCCTACTGTTCTTCTTATGCTATGTCCTCCCCTCTCCCTACTTGTTTATACGCACATGGATGCTGTCAATTATTATCTATGTACAAATGACCCCCACATTTATTCCTTCAGCTCAGACTTCTGTGAGCTCCAGGCCATTTGTCTAACTACCTACTTGATAACTCTAGTTAGTCACTCAAAAGGCACCTCACACTTGAAATGTGCAAAATCAAACTCAAGGCTTGCCCTCTACTCTGATTATTTGGTCTTTTTTTTTTTTAACCTTTCCCTGTCTTGACATCCATTCATTTTTTAAGTCAGAAGTGGGGAATCGTCCTTGACTCTCTTCCCTCTCACCTCCCATATCTAATATTTCAGTACAGTAAATTGTTCTCTCCTTGTGTTCTCGGAATTGCCGCCAAAGCTCCAAAGCTAACAGTTACCAAGGAACCCCTATCATCTAAAGAGTACCAGTGGGTTAATTAGAAGCAGCAGAAATGGCTTTGCAACTTCAAGCGTCAGCCTCCCCCTAGGATTTTATACACATACACACACACACAAAGAACATGACAGAGTCCCTGAGGACGAATGATGTGCCTCTTTCCCTCCCTGCATGCCAAAGTAGGAAACCCAATAAAACTACTTGTATAAACAAGAAACATGTGCGAGAAGGAAATACAAGCACCTCCTTGGTGGGCTGGACATCTACTTAGGCAGTGGACTTGCTAACCTGTTCTCAGTACCACCCTGAGGAGCAGAAAACCAAGAATTCGAGAACAAAGAGAAGTGACACCAGTTAGAGTGGCAAGAGGCCTGGATTTCCCAAAAGACACTGAAGAAGCAAGCCACGCTTGACAGGAATTGCTGGCACGTGTCCAAGAGGGCCACACCCAGGCAAGGAGGCCCCAACATCAAGAGCCTGTGGGGTACGTTGCTAAAGTAGGGCGTCACAAGAGGTGGCCCCTCCCACAGCAGAGAACTGCGCCGAGGCCCCTTCAGGCTCCTATGGAGAACGCCTCATCAGACAGAGGTATCATTTGGATGCCTACCAAAGGCATTTGCAGCCTCTCTCCAGCTCTCCACTCAGGCCCCACAGGCCAGGGAACAAAGGACAACCAGTAATAGAGAAGGTAAGGAAACAGACCACATGGCAACCCAACTTCCGGGATGCCCTCAGTCCTTGGGTTATACCTGGACTGAGTAGGGGTGGGTGGAGAAGGGTTTAAACTGGGTGTAAGACTGCACTCGGCCAGACAGGATGCTTTAATAACAGTAAATGATCTGTAAACTATGCTAATCTGCTGGAGATGTCATTAAGGAATCTGAAAGAAAACTGTATCAGCACATTTGAATGCAGTGGTTAGCAACAGAAATAAAAATCTTACCCTGTTTATATCTCCACTGAATTCAGTCCCTTCAGTCACTTGACTCCACAATCAGTCCCAGAGACTCCTCTCTGCTTCCAGCACTCTCGGCCCTCCCCATACTGCAGCCACAGTGCTCTGAAAAAACACAGATCTGGTCACATCGCTGCCCAGCTTAAAGTCTTTAGTGGCTTATCATTAGCACATCTAGGATAAAGATCTAAATCCTTACCACTGCCCACAACTCCCTGCCTCTGGTCTCACCTGCCCTACTTGCCCTCTCTGGACTCCCCCAACGTTGACCAGCCCGGTCCTCAGGTGCACCAACACCAGCCTTCACATAGCTGTTCCCCTGCCCAAACCCCTTCCCCACTCCTCCTTCCCCACTTCTCACTCCTCCAGAGTTCAGTTCATGTATCAGTTTCTTAGGAAAGCTTTCCCTAAACAAGGCAGGTATTCCCTTGCTACACACTCTACAGTATATACCTACGTTCATAACACTTATTATAATAGTTACATATATTTATGTAATATTCATTCAATAAAAAAGAGCCTGAGTATTTTTACCTACCTTTGTATTCCTGACACCTAACACAGCAGCCAGCAATGAGAAGGCACACAAGAAATATATGATGAATAAACAAATGAATGAGTGAGGGAATGAATGAATTTCCATGCATTTACCAATGTCACTGAGTAGATCTCCAACCAGGCATCTCTGATCATCTTTTATCCTCAGTATCAGCAACAAATGAGGTAGAGTTTGCACTCAGGGCACACACTGAGCAAGTCCACCTCAGTTCTTGTCTTCCCTGGGAAAACTTCTCTGATTATAATAATAGACTAATAATAATAGGAGGACTTAGAGCATACTGAGTGCCAGGCAGATTGTGCTAAAGTTTCATGCGTTAACAGATCTTGATCTAACACAACAACCCCACGGACTAGGTGCTTTCATTATCTACTTTTGTTAAAGGAGAAAGAAATAAAAGTTTAGACAAGTCAAGGGACTTGCCCCAAATCACACAGCTAATGTGCATAAGATGGGACTGGAACCCAAATATGGCTGACTAGAAAACCTAGGTTAGCCAAGACATGGAAACATTCCAAATGACCATCAATGATGAATGGATAAGAAAGATGTGGCACATATACACAATGGAATATTATTCAGCCATGAGAAAGGAGGATATCCTCCCATTTGTGACAACATGGATACACATTATGTTTAAGCACACTATGCTAAGTGAGACAAGTCAGAAAGAGAAAGACAAGTACCCTATGGTATCATTCGTGAGTAGAATCTAAAAAAGTTACATTTATGAAAAACAGAATTAAATGGTGGTTACTAGGGGGTAGGGGGAAGTGGTGCTAAGAGAGATGGTGTTTAAGGGTACAAACTTATAATCAATAGTAAATAAACCATAGAGATCTAAGCACAGTATAATGAATATAGACAATAACATTGTACTATAAAAAAATTTTTAGAAACCTGTGTTCCTAACCATTATAATACACTGCTTCCAAAACACAGGGCTCTCTCTCTATTTAGTAACACAGAACTTACTGGAGGTTTAACCATCTTACTCCTACAGCACTGTTCTTTTCCAGTGTTATTTAACACCTGGATTGAGAAATAAGATTTCATGTTTTTATGTTATGATTCTTCATTAAATTTTAAGCTCCTTGGAAAAAGGGGCCTTTGGTTGTGTTTGGCTTCTTTGGCTTCCTCACCAGGCCCATGCTTGGTTGTGAGGGCTCAGAAATATTTATAGAATAAATGAATAAATGAGTACTAGAATTGCCTTATTTAATAGTTTATATGGACTAAATGTGCGACATTCATTAAACACAATTCCAAGTTTAGGGAGACTTCCATTTTCAATAAAGATTCCTATGGATCAATGCCATGACTCCTATTTAAGTGTGTGATATGACAACACAGTGTTCCTCTGGAAAGCATAACACAGTATTTTTTTTTATCTAGAACGTCAAACCTGACCACACTATTTTAGATGTTCATTTCAAAACAAATGCAGAATGTTTATGTTAATTTGACATAAAATATTAAATACATGATATCTTTTATCAGCTATTAGGTGCATCCTCATTTTGTATAAGGCTAGAGGGCACCATTCAAATAGTAGATTTTTAGCAGCTCAAATATTAAATCTCCCCATGAATGGTGTGAATGTAAAATCTTATTCAGGTATTTGAAAACTATTTTATTCCTGAAAAAGAAAGCTGGAAGAGAAATCAATAATTCTCCTGGCTTCTGACCAACAATTCTGTAATTGTATCAACCAAATTTTCAATTTATTACCTCACCTCAGGAAATCATAAAGATAATTCTTTCCCACTTTCTATAACTGGGAACCCTGAAGGTTGTCTCCCTATTTAATTACAGATATGGGAAACGATACATCAAATATATATATTTTTGCTTAAATTCATTTTGCCAAAATTGTACCAAGCTCTACCATCTCCACAATAGAACACACGACTTGAGATAATTAAATGAAAAGCGAATACTGCTCTCACATTCACTGCTTCAAACTTCATGCTTCTGCCTCTTTTTAAGGATCCACATTGCACTGTCAGGTGCTTTGTTCCTGGACATACACTGCAGAGAAGAGAAAATGAGTTAGATACAGCGGTATGGGATTGTGCTCACTTACTCATTTACTCTAAGTAATATGGACCTAAGGGCGTGACACATGGTTAGTTGAAAAAGCAACAGCCTAAGAATTACAACTTGTAGTTTAATTTGGGTGCTGTTTTAAATCTCTTTGAATTTCCATTTTCCCACTGAGAAAATGGCGAAAATCCCTGCCTTGCATCTACTTGTAGGAATTTTGGAAGGAATGGGATAATATGTTAGAAACACTTTGAGAATATCGAAGGTTAGCTGTATCATAATTCTTGGTATTTTTAAGTAGCTTTGGCTTTAGTTAACAATAAATACCACCAAGGAAGGCTGGAGAGATAAATGGTTCCTCCCGTTATAGGCCTTTTTCAGAATTTCTCAACACATATCAACACATAGCAAAATAATATTTGTGATCCTTGATTTACTTTAAAAAAACAAAATACAATATAAAAAAAGCATGAAAGAAGACTGGTAACTTTCTGTTCAGATCAAAATTTATTTTAGAAATGTTAACTTCACCACGAACTATTCACCTTCAGTCTTGAATGTACTTCATATGGATGATTTAAATTTCTGATTTTCTGGTTTCCACTGATGAATTCTGCATTTTGACAAGTTTTGATGAAGCCTATTCACTCTAGACAATTTATGCAAACCTAACTTGAATAGTTGATTTTGACTTTATCCCCTTGAGTTCCCAGAACTGTCCTGATTAAATTTTAAAATATAATTACAGGTAGCACAGTGAGTCAGTCAGTTACTCAGAGAAATCTGAGCTCTGAATGCCTACTTCCTGCAGCACACTGCATTAAGCGCTCTGGAGGAGGGTGGGGGTGGATGGCAACAGTCATCGTGACATGATTTGAGGATTATTATTAAAACAACATATCACCAAGTACAAAGTACTCAGGTGGCAACTCTATACACAAAAATTCAAGAAATGGAGAGTAAAAGCACCTTTCCTGCTCTAACTGCCCATCCTATATATTTAGTAAATGTGTTTTGTGTCCATTAGTAGCCTTGCTGGCATTCCAGCGACACAAATTAAACAATGTTGGTCTACGTACAAATGGGCAGCCTGGATTGGTGTAGAGCAGTTCTTTAATTTCTTTTACCTGATGATACTTCAGTAGCTTTAAGTGAAGGGTCAAGTAGAGATTCTTTCTCAAAAAATGTTTTTATTTTGGAATAATTTTAGTTTCACAGAAATGTTGAGAAAATAATACAGCAAGTTTCTATATACCCTCACCCAGTTTTCTCTAATGTTAACATTTTACATTACCATAGCACATTTTTTTAAACTTAAGAGCCAACTGGTATATTACTGCTGATTAAATTTTGGAATTTATTTCAGTTTCATTCATTTCCCGCTAATGTCTTTTTCCATTCCAGGATTCAATCCACAAACTACATTGTATTTAGCAAGAAGAAACTCTAATGATTTGCTGCTGAGATTCAAAAATTAGCCATTTCCAGGCAAATGAGGCTAATCAGGCAAAATATTAACGTGAGCGGTAACAAAAATGAATTGAGTGTCAAAGAGCCACCTAGGCACACCGTAGTGTCAGATTCTTAACTAACTTTGGCATAAAGTAAATATGATTTTGTAGGCAGTCATTAAACTCTTTTATTCATGTAAAGATGATGATTTTATCAATATAAACTGTACCATCATTGCCAGAGTTTTGTTTTTTCTTTTCTTTTCTTTCCTGTTTTGTTTGTTTTTTGGTATATCTGTGAGAACATTTTGATGTGATAATTCTTTTTGTATCACCTACTGTGAGCACCTAGATTTTCGAAATGAAGACACGGGAAGAGGCTGATTTGGTTCCCAGTTAGGGAAGCTGACCTTAGACATCAGAGAAACAAAACCTTAGATGGTCTGTTAATGTGTGTCAGAAGATAATTATGGATCAAGACCAGTGGGTGCATCAGGATCACCTAGGGGGCTAGTTACAATACAGATTTCTGAGTCCCATTCCAGGTCTGGGCTAGCCCAGACATTTGCACTTTCTAACAAGTTCCCAGGTGCTGTGGATGCAGCTGGTCCTCGTACAGACTTCAAGGATCACTTTTGTTGACAGTCACCGGAAAGAAAAATAAAGCCATTTTGTTCTGACAAGGTATAATCTTTGGTTCCTGGATTTATCTGTTGCCTACCACTCAGAGAAGGGATCTGTTGAATCTCATTTCATGTCCGTGCAAGGAATAAATTAGAAAATAAAATAAATATATTAGCTTTCCATAATGGTTCTCACTGATCTACCTTCCCTTCAAGCAATGCAATCATTTTTAAATAATAAAATATTGTTTTTAACAATAATAAAATATTATTATAAACCAACCATAAATTTTTGGTTTGAAGCAATGCCTCTGATTGGTCAATAGGAATTAATAAGGGTGAGGGATGTAACACACATCTTCAGCAGTGGGTCTCAAACTTTAATGTGCTTATGGCTCACCTGGGGATCTTTCAGTTGGTCTGAGTGTGGACCCCGAGATTCTGCATTTCTATCAAGCTTCCAGATGTTGCCATTGCTGCTGATCCATGGGTCATACTTCAAGTTAGCTCTATGGGCCTTTTGAAGGTGTTAGCAAATACAAGATGTTCTAGCATCTGGTCTTCCCTAGAGAACACTGGAACTTCCTAGCATGTCTCTGTTCTAGAAACACTGTCTTTGATGAAGGCGAAGTTTGGAGTACACTGATCTGCATTCTGAATTCTAGGCTTTAGAATAAAGAAGTGATGATTGTTGGGAAACTAAATCAAAATCTCTCTGGAGTGTACTAGAATGCGGTGGAAACTTTGGAACCTGATCACTTATGAGGAGTCCTTTATCCCTAATCTCTACTTGTTTGCCCTAGTCAATCTAGTAAATAGAAGTAACATAGGGAAAAAATACTGAAGATAAGAGTGTAATCCAGTTGTTGGGCAGTTTCTGCCCACGTCATTGCTGTCAATGCTGACCTCATAAACAGGTCTTCAGTTCCTCAGACTGTTCTTTCATCTCCTTATCTCAGTCTGTCCCAGAGGTCTTCCTGGCTATTATGATGGAAATTCCAGGAAAACTACTGATTTCTGTTATTCCTCCAAAATACAGCTTAGCTTTCTTTCAATTTTGGAGCCAAAGGCCAACATTATGTAAGACTTTATTCTCCCTATTAGAGTGTAAAGGGATAAAGGATAAGGAGTTTTTTATCACTATTTCACTGGTTGCTACAGAAAAAAAAAAAGAAACTTCAGGAAAATTGAAAAGGTCTGTTGATTGCCTCAGAGAGAAGAGGAGTGGCTATTAGAACATATTCTTTTTCACAGTGGGTTGAACTAGAAGAAAAACCTTAGTCAGAAACAACAAATAGTACAAACTTCAGCTCTCCTGAGATGCTGTCTGAGGATTCATCACACGGTGGGGTGGTGGTGTGCATCCTGCACAAGTGAATAGGGTAGAAAGACCCCCCCAAAGCACGCCTCGGATTGCCTCTGTAAGTAGACTCTCAAAATATATTCAGGTGAATGATAAGCTTGCTCTAGCTAACTAATGGTGGCAATGGAAAAGTAAGCCAACCTTCAGGGGTCCACAGATGAAAAAAGCTAACAGTGAGATGGCCCAGCTGAAGAACTAGCCCTGGGAAGCATACCTCAGCAAGAGGCCCTCACCACCCCAGCTCCCCTAACGCCCTGCTTGCATCCCCTGCATTGCATTTTGGGCACTGCCATCAGTGTCATGGAGCCAAGGAAGCCCTAGTTCAAGAAAATCAGAATTTCGGAAACCTTCTATCCAGCACTGTGAGCCTGGCAGCTTACCAGTACCTGAAGACTTTTCTGATGAGCTGTAGTAGTGATTCTGACACATGTGATTTTTTGATATTGTATAATATAATGTGTCAACTTTTAGAAGACAGGCATAACTCAGAGAACTAATATTTTCCAGATGGCCAGTGAATGCATGATGTTACAAAATCATGTGTGGGTAAAAGATCCATTTGAAATGCAAAATAGATCAATAGATTTTAATGTACTAGAGCATAAAAAGTTTATTGATATGATTTCAGATTATTCATTGTAACTAAACTTTAGAAAACTTACAATTCTCAAATTTTTGTGTATCAAAGAAGAATATCCAGTTGTCTGAAAAAGTTCTTAAATACTCCTCCCTTTTCCAACCACCTACGTGTTTGAGCCAGATTTTTCTTTACATACTGCAACCAAAATGGTATGTCACAATAGCTTAAATACAGAAGCAGATATATATCCAGCTATCTCCTATTCAGCCAGACATAGAAGATATTTGCAAAGCATATAAAATAATGCCACTCTTCTCATTAGCATTTTTGTTTGGAAAAATACAATCATGTTCACAGTGTGTATATTACCACATAATGGGTATATTGTCATTATTTAAAAATTTTTTTTCTCAGTTTTAATTTCTACATGGCAAATATAAATAGATATAACCCACATAGACAAAAGCTCTTTGAGGTCTTCAATAATTTTCAAGGACAAAAAATTCTAAAACAAAAAGTTAGAAAACTGCTGGTCTAAGCTAAGGACTATGCTTCATTACCTTCCATTTAAAATATTGTGTCTTTGATTACTATATATAAAATAGATAAACAACAAGGACCTACCATATAGCACAGGGAACTATATTCAATTTCTTGTAATAAAATATAATGGAGAAGAATCTGAAAAGAATATACACATATGTATGTATATGTATAACTGAATCACTTTGCTGTACTCCTGAAACTAACATTGTAAATAAACTACACTTTAGTAAAAATTTTTTAAAAAATATTGTCTCTGATAATCATACAGAATGTTTGCTATATTTTATGTTTGTGAAATGATACAGCAGAGAATATTTTATTTCACATAATAATTCTTTCTACTATATGGAAAATTAAGACATACATATGGGGAAAAATAAACAGTATTGGTTAAAACAAATAAATATTTGTGTCTCCGGAGTGGGTGCTCTAATCACTACATGTGGGTTAATATCTATGGAAAATACATTCTGAGCTATCAACAAGGAACTTACAGTTACACCTAATTTGGCATTTTGAAGAAGACATGCTGAGAAATTTGGTCTGATTATAAAACAAGGTCGCAGTCATAGACCCTTTTATACTTTGGGACTTGCTTCTGTACTTGTTGGTCTCTACCCACTGCAGTTATCTGAGGGCAGGGAACTGGTTTCTTTTTGACTTCTATAGCCAAAGGATTTGGCATAAAGTAGGACTTAATAAACATTTGTTGAATGAATGAATCAACAGAACACTAAATACTCATATATAAAAAAGTCATTTCAGGCTGATATTTAAATTATATTTATGGTTGCTCTGTAGTCAGAAACACCAGCTAGAGGCACCATATACATTGCAAAGATATAAATAAAAACTCCTTTGATAAACTCAAACAACAAGAAATCACTTTAGATGATATTTCAGTGAAATTACATTTTAATTGTGGTGTTGTTTACCCTCAAGTGAGGATCAGAAATGTGTATCGCCAAAGAAGACAAATATGGAACTATATACACTCTGGAAATATTAACAGGCAGAAAAATCCATTTATCTTATTGCTAAGGATCAAGCTACCTAGAAAATATAGTGAGGACTATCTTTGCATCCTATACTATCATGGTCAAGTTTAGAGTCTACTGTAAAAAGTTAAAGGCCTCAAGGAGATGATTAGAAATTATTCCAAAGATAATCTGAAGACTTATTTCTGGAAGAAAACTTCTGGTTTCCTAATATATTTCTGGCTCCTGCAAAGGCCACCATACACATTATGTCTATTTTATAGTTTAGAGTATATAAAGATGACAGTATTCACCATATAATTACTCTCCAGGTTTTCAACATCTGAAAATCTTTGTATTTGAGTCACTCTAATTCAGTTCCTAGGAAGGAGTGTGGCTCTCATATCTCCTAACAAAACTGCATTCATTCCACTTTTGATGACTTTAACTTCTTTCGAAGGAGGGCTGACACTGCGACAGACCTAATAACACAATTACAATTACAATCCTTGTAATAACTTTTCAGTCAATTTCCCGTGTTAGTATAATCTGGGAAACAAACTTCATTAAGTCACTAAGATAACTTAATGAATAGAATAAATGAAAAAGAGAACTCTCAAAATTCCATCAGGTTAAGTAGTTTAAGTGCCAAAAACAGGTCTTGGTTACCAAGGAAACATTCACAGATGAGATGCTAGTTCTGTAATAGTTCTATTGTTCTGTCAAAAGAAAATTCAGAGATATAACCTGATATAAACACTTTATCAAGCAAGAAACAAACAGGGAGATTTTGAGCTGAAAGTCGTTTGAAGCTCAACATTTAGCAGTTACAGCTCAGTTTATAAAGTGTGAATGAGAAAGTACATTGTTTTTGTTTATCATGATTGGTTACTAGAAATTTATAATCTGTTTATGGCAGTAGCACTGTGTAATCATAATGGTATATGGTGAGTGATTAGCTGGGAAGCTATAAGGTCACACTGACCTGAAGAAAGGTTAAATTTTGTTTTAGGTCAGAGTCACTATTTTGGGAAAATCAGGATAGTTTAAGTTTTAGTTACATAACTACGGTGTTTGATCTAAGAGTATATTCAAAATGTGGCCTCTGTTTTGTTTTTTTTTTAACAGTTCTCAGCACAAACCAACTGGCATAATTCAAGTTCAGAAAGCACTGATTTGTGTTTATCAAAGGGTTATATCACACTGTAAATACAAAATCTTCCAGCCCCCAAACTGGTATTCTTTTTTTTCATGCCACAGGTTAATATTTTCTGTCTTTGGAATGGTTTCTGTGATGTAAAGAGTTTAGGTCATATTGAAAACTACAGATCAAATTTTCTCAGCAGAATCTTGATCATAAATTTTTTCAGATCATTGAACTCATCTAGTGTTGTATTCCAGGGTCTCCCAAATGTCAGAATTAAAACAAATAAGTAAAAAATATTTATTAAATATAAAACATTAAGTGTTTTGTGTTTTTAAAATAATGTATATTCAGTTAGGAATGGGCCCTGAAAATAATGAACAATGAAGCAATTGCTGAGAAAAAGCAAATGGAAAAAACTGACCTCATGTTAAGGAACACTGTACTCTGACCGCTATTCAGTACTTACACTACAATTGCACTTCATCTTCTTCTAAACTGAAGCTACTTGAGGGCAAACATGATGTCTTTGTTTTTCTCCACAATGCTTAGCTTACTCTCTTAGACCTAGAAGTAATAAAAATAGCTCATTAGCATTAATTGACTGTGTGTTTCTTTAACATACATTATGTCAACAACCTATGCAGTATATAATCAGCCCAGTTTACAGATGAAGAAAATGAGGCTGACAGATTATGTGATTCAATTCAGATTTTACAGCATTTAAGTGAGTCAAAATCTGAACACAGATCTGAACATAGAGTCTATTGTTTCCATCATACTTACTTACCCTATTTATTTAATGAGTAGTGTTAAATACATATGTACTAAATTGATCAATGCTTTTGTGATTTCTTCCAAATAAGAAGTTTATTCTGATCGTAGAAGTCCTTTTATTCAACTCACACAACTGTTATTACAAATAAGCCATGAAAGCAGTCTCTGTAAACAGCTTTTGGTCTCATTTGTATGGCACCTCTGAATAAAGTGGGGACAGTTATATAAATCTGTTTCAGGATTATTTTGTATTCTTATGAGGAGAGAATGGATTATATGTAGGGAGACAAAATATTAAGGCTAGAAGAAACTTCCAAAACATTTTCTCAGTTTATATTTTTTAGGTAAAGTTTGGCTTGTCTCCTCCTACTTCACCTTCCCCTCCCTCAACCCCTCCTCCTCATTTTTGATTTGATTATTCCTCTTTAAATAAACTACATAATATTTTATGACTTAATGAAGCCCAACCAATATGACAGTGATTTCTGAGTTCAACGCTATTTTTTCCTTTCAATTATATTATATAATTCAGATCCAGTTTGGATCTAAACATGATAGGTTTTGTTTTCTAATCACAATTTTGGACTTGTGGCTTGATAATAGGATTTGATGGCACTTATATTCTAGAAGACTGTTTTGATGTTTTTAGTATCCTGTTTAAAAGAAATTGAAGAGGTGAAAAATGCAGTATGGACACCAGAATATCAGATTATCATAACACTCAATGTCAATATTGAAACATATAATTTAAAATTAAGGCAATTTCTGGAAAATTAACTGCTGACAATAAACCAAAAGGAATTACTTTCGTCTCTGTTTGGAGAACATTTTCATAAAATTAAAATGAGGAATACAGCAAATGAGGATATACAAATATATCCATTGGAGAAACTCTTTCTTCACTCAGCTTCCATGACACTACCGTTTTGATTTTCCCTTCTCATTCTCCTTTACTGTGTCCTCCTTTTCTCTCCAGTTCTTCATGTGAGACTGCTCCAAGGTTCAGTCCTTCATCTTCTTCTTTCTCTCCAGTTCTTCATGTGAGACTGCTCCAAGGTTCAGTCCTTCATCTTCTTCTTGTTTTCAGTACTCTATCTACACTCACTGTAATGAAGTACTGTGTATATACTGATGACTCCCCAGTTTTTATCTCTAGCACACACCTCTCTCTCCTGCTGCAGAATCATACATCCCAACTGACTTTCTGACAACAATGATCAGACGATAATAAGTGTCTCAAACTTAACATTTTCATTACTGAAATCTTGATCTTACCCTTCAAATTTGCTCCACCTGAAGCCTTTCCCATATCAACTGATAGTAACTCCATCCTTCTAGGCATTTAGTTCAAAAATCTTGGAGTCATCCTTGACTCTTCTTTCTCTCATGCCTTTCATTCAATCGTTCGGAACTCTACCTTCCAAAAGAATCTCATCACATTTTACCACCTCCACTAGAACCACCCTGGTTCAAGACATTCACTTCTCCCCTCCATTCACTTTCCCTCCCCTGTAGTCTATTCTCAAAAGAAGAGTCTGAGAGATGCTTTCAAAACATAAGTCAGGTCACGCTATTCCTTTTCTCAAAATCCTCCAAGAAATCTGCATCTCACGTAAAAGCCAAAGTCCTTACAAAAACCTACACAATCTGTCACACCTAGTCCCACCCCCACCCCCGCCTGCCCTTACTTTCCTCCTTTCTCTTTTGACTCCTGGCTTCCACGGTGTTTCCTGAACAAGCCAGGCTTGCTACTGACAAGGAGCCTTGGAGCTAGCTGTATGTTTCCTTTGCCTGGACATCCCTTCTCCCAGATAACCAACTTTTCTCAGATTACCAGCTCTGCCCACCCCACCCCACCCCACCCCACCCCACCCCCAACTGCATGGTTTACCCCATTGCCTCCTAAACATTTCTGCTCAATAGAACTTTTTCAATGAAGTCTACTCTGTGAATTCTATTTAAAAGGTGCAATCTGCCCCTCTAGCCGCTCCTCATCTTCTTTTATTCTGTTCTATTCTTCCCATACCGTGCATTAGTTAATAGTTACTACACTATTTGTGAGCTCATTTTATTCTTTCTCTAGTAGAACGTAAACGCTTTACGGCAAAGGTGGTTTTGTTCACATGTTTTACAGGATCGGCACACGGAAAACACTCAGTAATGGATTCCACCAACTCATCATTTCACTGTTCACGCGGCTGGCGTAAACCTTCTAAGCTCTCCTCAAGTCTAAACTTCAGCACCTTAAACGCTTAAAGCTCACGAAACAGTATACATTTTCCTTTAAGAACTTTCCGACCCCGGAAACAAAAGCTTAAGGAAAGGGGTCAGAGGAGAAAGCTACTTCCGTTTCCGTACAGACCACAAGGGGCAAAAACACCATGGCGAAAACCGGGGAGAAGAGCGGCGGCAGCGGAAAGAAAGGCCTGAAACGCAAAGCCGCTCCTGAAGAACCCCAAGAGGCTGCAGTCGTTGAGGATGGGACGACGGAAAGCGGGGTCCAACCCCCGAAAGCGGCTGCCTTTCCCCCAGGCTTCAGCATTTCGGAGATTAAGAACAAACAGCGGCGACACTTAATGTTCACGCGGTGGAAACAGCAGCAGCGGAAGGTATAAAGGGGCGGAGGCGCCAGAGCGCACGCGCGGTGTCCCTCCTGCGCCCGTGCCCACGGTGGAGGGAGGTGGGTTGCACATGCGTGGTCATCACTGCCCGGGGTTCCAGGCTGCGCTGTTTAATCCGGAAGGGGCAAGGAGGTAGCTCTTGTGTCCTAGTACCCCTCACCCTGTTTGGGGGACACTTCCTTTAGGCTCAGCGTTTTGCACGACAGTTGAAAATTCCTTTCCTTACCAGCCCTACTCTAGGGTCCGCGGATGAGAATGAAACCAAGAAGTCCTGCTTTCTTGGTATTGAAAATTACCACCGCCCCCGCCCCAACAACGCCCGCACCTAGAAGGCAAAAAAGTCTGTCTCTCCGCTTCGCCCTTTACAATTAACGTTAATTCGTAAAATCTGCAATGCAGACTGTACAAACATCCAAAATGACCCTTCTCTGATTCCTGCAGCAACTCTTACCGAAATTAGTACTGTAAAACTTCTAGTAATTATCTTTACAGCGTTCTCATACTATTCTAGGAGGTAAACAAATATAAGGAGATAAATAAAGCCCAAGGTCACAGTGTTCATTTCTGGTTCAATTATAGTTGGAAGCAAGTTGCTTATTTTTGAATATCACGAAAGTTCACACTTTTTTTTTTAACTTGCTTGCCTCCTCTTGCTAGACTTTGAGGCGCTGGACTGTCATATTTGTCATAAGTGACCAAGTGCTGTTAAAGTATATAAAAGGAACATCTAATCCATGCTGGTGTGGGAGTATGGGGGGAAGGGTGTCCTAGAAAACTTTGGGATTGTAATTTCTAATCCGAGAGCTGATGGATTGAGGGTTACCAAGCACTGGGGGAAAAACAATAATCTATTTTCTATTGTGTGTCAAGCATTCTGTTCAGGAATCACCAGAAGTTATAGATTTATGATATACCTTGCGGGCTCTTAATTTTAAAAGAATATTTTGAGTTTTAAATATTTGAATAACTAGTGATGGTTTTATTGGAAACAACCTGAAAACTTCTCTCCCATTCCCATTTATTTTTAGTACTTTCCAAGAAAAGCAACCAGCATAGTCTGGTTTTCTTTAGAATGTAACTTGTTAGGAATGCAAAACAAAACGGCAAAAACTTGTTAACTTGTTTAGATGTACATTTTGCACTTTCACTTAATTTGAGACTTTATAGTAAAAGATAAAACTAGTGAAATTCTAAATTATTCAAGCTTGTCAATTTAGGTTATTTTGAAGGAGAGATCTTTGTTAGAGAAATCTTACTGATTGGCTAGCTCATTTGGATTACAGTAACTTAGGTATGACAATCTAAGTCAGGATGTTAATTTTAATACATTACTAAGATTACTCAGTTTAAATATTTATAGCATTAGTAATTTGTAGTTTCAGTATGTGTTTGTGATAAAACTGTTGGTTTTTCAATATTGTTCTTTTTTTAAAACTCTTTAGGAGAAGTTGGCAGCTAAGAAAAAACTTAAGAAAGAGAGAGAGGCTCTTGGTGATAAGGTAAATAAAATTTTTAGCCATCTGCTTTCCATCTCATGTTAAGGACTGCTCCCTGTTACTTACGTTGAATCACTTTTAAAGTTTATTATGAAAATTTTGGATGTATAAAATGATAACAAAAATAATACAGCTTACCCTTCTCTTTTACTCAGCTGTAAGAAATTATGCATTAATAAATAGTGTTCAAAGTTTCTGTGTGCTTTTTTCTGATTGCTTCCCCTCCAGAGATAATGACTCATGAAATTGCTCTTTATTGTTCCCATGCGCTTCTTTATTATCTTTACTGTGTTTGTTTGTGTCCCTAAACAGTAAACACAATGGTTTTTTGCAAAACACAAAGTGTTTTTAACATTTTTTCAGAATTTCATGTAAATGGTGTGTATATTTGAACTTGCCTATTTTACTTAAGTTTGTGTGTTTGAGAGGTAGAGACTTCTCTCCCTGACTGGGAATGGGGAAGATCCACAGTTTAGGCCTGTAGCTGGAGCTCTTCTGACTGAAGCAAAGGCTCTTTGTTAAGCGAGGCTGGGGAAAGGCAGGGCAGATCCTATTCTCCTGTAGGGTAGGGGCTTGTAAGGATGAGAACTGACACAGAGAGTATGAACCTGTGAAGAGTAAGAATGAGGAGTGAGAGGAAGGTGAGATACCTGGTAGATTATGGCAAAGGAGAGAGCAGAGATAATGCATCAAGAAAGGATTTGGCTGTTCTTTTGGTGTTGAGAAAAAGTGAGATCTTTCTTTTCAAAGTTTTTAAAAGAACTGCTTAATACTTCCCACATTATTGCATAGCTAAGTTATTTTCATTTTAGTTTCATTTTATTTGTAGTTAGTTCTAGGTTACAATTTATATTTGCAAAATTTAAAAAATGTTTAACTCTTCTTCCCTCCCATCTCTTAAGATGAGGTACCACATAATGGGAAGCATTTTTGTGGACGGAAAAAACATAAAGACTATACACAAAGTAAACACCCTGCTTTTTCGTGCATCCTCTTTCATAGCATTAGGTTAAATCACATAAAATTGCTAATATTAGACTGTTTTGACCTGCAAAATCCTATCAAGCAATGTTAGTCTCTTGTTAACTGTCAATGATCAGTCAGTTATAGCAAATTAATATGCTGATAACCATTTGAAAATATCACCATTCTTGTTTTTTGGATTGAAAGATAACTTCCTAGATTTAAGCCATTTTATTCAATGTCAGGCATCTTCCAGTATGTGCATGTGTCTGTTCAGAGAGTTTAAAAGCCTCTTAGTTAATACTGTTACTGGGATTGATGTGGCAGTGGGTTGAAATAATGCACAGGTTTGAATTTTTGGATTATCTGCAGATTTCTGTTATTCTTCCTCAACCATAATGCAAAATTATTCATGTAAAATGTTTCTAAAACTTGATCTTTTTTCTTTTATTTAGGCTCCACCAAAGCCTATACCCAAGACTATTGACAACCAGCGAGTGTTTGATGAAACCATAGTGGACCCTAATGACGAAGAGGTAATGTTAGAAGTCTTAAGTCAGTTTGGATGGCGATACTTGATAAATTACCTGTTTGTGTGTCAGTGTTTAAAGTACTGGCTGGTGAAGTTATAATGGACGGATTCAGCTATAATGTTGGCATATTGCCTTATTATTTGTTGTAGATTATTTCGTAATTGAGTTTCCCAATAATGCTATAGAAAAGGTGGTTTTATTTTCTAGAAAAGTATTTTATGTAAACTTATTTGTCATTTAATCTCTGTGTAGTACTTTGCAGTGTTTTTTAATATCATTTGAAAAACATTCCTCAGACCTATAGATATTTTTTAGTATTAGACATTTTAACACGTAAGGAGAACATTTGATGGTATTTTTGTGTCCTCATAAAACTTTTGGTTTCAAGATAATCTTCCACTTTTCACATTTTACCTTTAAATAGTTTGCAACAGTACAGTGAGAGAATCAAGGTTTTAAAACTTTGTGTGTGTGTGTGTATATTTTTTAAATTTTTATTTATGTACAGGAAAGTTGTTTTTGTTATGCATGTTTGCTTTCAAACAATGCTGCTACCAACATTCTTTCACATATTTCCTGGTATAGCCATTCATTCGTTCATTCATTCAGTCTTCCAGCAAATGTTTTTTGATTGCCTGCTATGTGTGAACATCTGTTTTAGGGACATGGGATTCATCAGTGCACAAAACACTCACACATATGCACACAATATTTCTCCCCATCCAGAACTTAACATTCTATGAAAGGAAACAAACAGTGAACATAATAAAATAAATTACCATGTTAGCAGATGGTAGGTTAATGAAGTTACAGAATAGGGTAAAGGAGATTCAGGACAACTTGGTGTAGAGGGTATATGCAGTTTTAAATATACAGGGGTGTGCATGAGAGAGTGGGGGGGGCCCTGTATTTTATTTATTTTGACATAATTTCAGACTTAGTAGAAACAGACTTTAGCTAGATTTCCTAAATGTTAAATTGTATCACACTTTGTTTTCATTTATATTCTCTCTGAAATGCTTGAGAGTAAGTGGCAGACATAAGTCTCTTTACTTTTATCTGCTTAGTATATTTTACCTATAAACTTTTTTTAATAAGCAGAGTGTAGAGTTATCAAAATTAGATAATTAACATTGATATACAATATTATTATCTGATCTCTACAGGTTATTCAGATGTCACAATAATGTCATTTTTTGCAAAAGAAAAATCCATGCTCATGTGTTTCATCCCACTACAATAACTTTAACCTCCCTTAGTTTAGAACAGTTTCTCAGAATTGATTTTAATGACATTGACATTTTTGAAGAGTACAGATCAGGTATACTTATAGAATGTCACTTAATATGAGTTTGATGTTTGCTTATGATTATATTTGGCTTATGTACTTTTGACAGGAATGCACGATTGTGATGTTATGTTCTTTTCACTGTTCTTATCAGGAGTCACATATTGTTGATTTTCCCATTCCCATTGTATTAACTTTCATCATTTAATTCAAGTGGTGTCTGTCAGATTTCTCCACTTAACTATTTTTCCCTTTGCAATTAATAAGTATTTTGGGAGGAAGGTACTTTGAGATTATATAAATATGTTACTCTTTAAACTCTCACTCAAGATTTTGGAATTATAAATAATTTTTTTCAGTCTGACAGGTAAGAAATTGTATTTCAATGTAGTTTTAATTTGCTGTTCTCTTGTTATGAATGAGGTTGAACATCTTTTCATGTTTTCTTTCTTTTTAATCCATTGTTTGTTCTTGTTTCTTGCCCATTTTTCTGTTTGTTAGGGTTGCATTTTTTATTCAATGGTTAGGGTAGGCTTCATTGAGATGACCTATTAGCAAATACTTGAAGGATTTAAAAAAATTGGCCATCTTTGGGCAAAAAGTATTCCAGGATGAGGGGACAGCCAGTGCAAAAGCTCTAAGGCAGGAACATTCTTAGTGTAGTTTTGAAAAACACTGAGGAAGCCAGTATGCTGAAATTAAGTGAGCAAGAGGGAGGGTTGTAAAAGAGATGCCAAAAGTATGGGGAAGGGAAGAGGCCAGATCAGTGACTTTGATGGCCATTGTGGGGATTTTGGCTTTCATACTTAATGAAATGAGAGGCCATTGGATGGTTTTGAACAGGGGAATGATAGCATTGGACTATTTTTTTTTAAGTAATTAGTTGCTTTACTGAGAAAGCAATTAGAGAGGTAAACAGACTACGAAGCTAATCCAGGAAAGAGATGATCATGATTGAGACCACAGTAGTTACGATGAGTATTGAGAATCAGTCTGATTCTGAGGCTTGTTTTGTTTTTTTTTTTTTTTTTTTTTTTTTGGCCTGGGTGTATTTTGAAATCAGAGCCACTAGAATTTCTTGATAGATTAGACATAGGATGTTAGAGAAAGAGGATTCAAAGATGGTATTGAGGTTTTTAGCCTGAGCAATTGGAAGGGTAGGAATATGGAATTTATCATTGACAAGATATGGAAGAGGTCTTGGCTGGAGATAAGTTGGGGATCATAGACATAGAAGTTGCATATATGTAGGTTTCCCTGGAATTTGTTGGGTCATGGGATATATAAATGTTCAGTTCTAGACTTAAGTGCCAGAATGTTTTTCAGAGTAGTGAGTGCATCATTTTGCACTTCCATGGTGTGGGAACAATATTTCTGGCCATCCACGTTCTGACTAATGTTTGGTATATTCAGACTAGTGATAAAGGGCTATCTCATTCTGGTTTGAGTTTGCATTTCCCTAATTCCTAAAGTGATGAGCATCTCTTCGTGTATGTACTGTGGTTTTGGTAGAGATATGCCAACTCATGTCTTTTGCCCAATTTTCAATCTTGTAGCGTGTTTTAATGATTTGTAGAATTTCTCTTCATATTGGATACTAATCCTTTATGTGTATTACAGGTATCTTCCAATTTGTGGATTCTCTTTTACTTTTTTCTTTGACGTCTTTTGATGAGCAAAGGTCCTTCATATACTTGGGTTTAATTTTTTTTAGTAGTTAATACTTTTTTGTCATACTTAAGAAATCTTTATCCTGTGACCATATGATCTCATATTTATATATATTTTTTCACCAATTTCTTTTTTCCACTGCTCCCTCCTTCTCCCCTGTATGTAATCAGTTTCCCCAGCACCATTTTTAGAGTAGTGCAACTTTTTCCCATAGTGAGTTGTGATGCCGTGTTATATATCAGGTATCCATATATGCTTGGTCTTTTTCTGGGCTATTTTCTTGGTCAGTTTATCACTGGATCAGCTCTTTAATTATGTAGCTTCATGATAAGTTTTGAAATCTGTTAGGGCAAGATGACCCTCCCCAGCCCCATCTTCAGATCCCTCTCTTCAGGAGTGTTTTCTCCTGGACCTTTGGTCTTCCATATAAAATTATAAATGGCACAAAATCAGATCAGTTTGAGGATCTATATATATTTTGCTAATTAGGTCTTCTTCAAATACTGAAAATGAATTTCGGTGAATTTCACGATTTTCTTCATACAAGTTTTACACCATAATCTTGTTAGAGCTATTCCTGGGTATTATATATTGTTACTTATTAGTGTAAATCCCATCTCTTTGAAAACTGTTTTATTTGCTAATATACAAAAATGCAGTTGAGCTTTGGATCATGATCTTCTAACCAGTAGTAGTTTACCTAAATTCATTTCTAATAATTTGAATGTTTTTTTAATTTCATATTTAGATACTCATTTCTACAAATAAGTTTTATTTCTTACTTTCAATCCAGTAACGGTTTATTTTTGTGCTTACTGTAATGTTCAGCATATCAAAGAAGTAGAAAAATGGTAGCATCTGTGGCATGTTTCTGATTTTAAAGAGAATACTTCCAGTGTGTGATCATTAAGGGTAGATTCTCCTTATGAGTTATGGAAATTCCACTTATTCTTTTTTTTGCTGGGTTTTTGTTTGTTTGCCTTACCTTGAATGAATGTAAAAAGTTAGATTCTTTTTCTACAAATATTAAGATAATATTTGTACTTTTTCTGTAAATATTGAGATGAATATGCTGTTTTCTCCTTTATTGTACTAATGTAGTAAACGAAATAGATTTTCTAATGTTAAGTTTCTTGTAGTCATAGGATAAATCCACTTTAGTTATGATGTTTTATCTTTCCTAATATATTGTTTTGGTTTGTTAATACTTTGTTTAGAACATGTACATCTGTGTCCATGAGTGAGACTGCAGTGATGTCCTGTTTGCATTCCTAATTTTATTTGGGCTTTTCACCAGAGATGTATCTGTTTTGTTATTCTTTTCAAATTGCTTTTTTTCTTTGATCTTCTCTGTTGAATCTTTGTTTTCTAATTCATTTATATCCTTTTGCCTTCATTGTTTATTTCTTTTTCATTTTGAGTGTATTCTGTTTTTATTTATTATTAGCTAACTTTATGATAAACAATAGCTTAAGATCTATTCTGGAGAATGATTTATCACAATCAATTTTAAGTAAATACTGACATGATTCTGGTAAAATATAGCAGGTTTGCACCAGTCTTGCTTCGTTGCCTGCACTCTTATTCATGCTGTTATTGTTGCCATATGTGGTTATGTATTGCATCTGTCTCTGTCATAAACTCAGTGTTGTAATTGATGCTTTAAACAATCTCATGTTTTTGTTTTTTTAAGAAATTAAGAGTGTACACACAAAATACACCCACAAAATCTTTTATGTTTACTTTCATTGTTACTTGTTTACAGTGCTCTTCCTTCCTGTCTCTGGATCCGAGTTACCATCTGGTATCATTTTTATAGCAGGTCTAATAGCTAATTATCTCAGTTTTTGTTTACCTGAAAGTGTGCTTATTTTGCCTTAATTTTTGAAAGAATTTTGCAGGCTATAGAAACCTTGGTTGACTTTTTAAAATTTTTTTTTCTTCTGGTACTTTGAACTTATTCCATTGTATTTTGACCTTCATTATATCTCTTGAGAAACCAGTCATTAATAATCATTGTTTCCCTGTACATGATTTATTTTTCTCTTACTTCTTTCAGAATTTTCTGGGGTTTTTTTTGGCTTTTACCAGTTGACTCAGGTGTGTTTGCATCTCAGTTCGTGTCTTGAAATTGTTTTTTGGCAGTTATTTCCAGTTTTATATTTGTATTTTACAGGTAGGAAATTACCCAACCTCTTCATTTTGCCCTTAACCTAAGTTCCTCCTGGGCCTTCTTTAAATTCCCAATCAAAACCAGGTAGTCAGTGTCATAGAATCTTACTGGAACTGCTGTCAAAATGCTGGCCCAGTGGACTATTTATTTGATGGAAAATTATCTCTCTGTTTTTAGGTTGCTTACGATGAAGCTACAGATGAATTTGCTTCTTACTTCAACAGACAGACTTCTCCCAAGATTCTCATCACTACGTCAGATAGACCTCATGGGGTAAACACATCAATTAGTATACCTCTAGAATTGTCACTTTTCTTACATCACTTAGGTTATTTAAAAGAACTTCATTCAAAAGAGTTAGATTACTAGTATCGCCTTACATATATTGCCTGTGAATAAGCTAAAGCAAATACGGTGCTGCTGATGTGATGTATGTTCACTAAGCGTGATTCTTCAGGATAGACTTTCTCAACCTCAGCACCAGTGTACTTTTTTTTCCTATTCACATAATATTTTAGGCTGGATAATTTTTTATTATGCAGATTGTCCTATTAATCATGTTTAGCAGCATCTCTGACCTCTACCCACTAGATCCAGTAACAGGCCACCCCTCCCCCAACCACCACCAGTCATAACCACCAAAAATGTTTCCAGACGTTTCCAAACATCCCTTGATAGCAAAATTATCCCTAGTTGAGAACCACTGCTTTAGTTTGATCAGCCTTTGATGAAGGATGAAATGTTCAGATTTCATTTTCCCTTGCCTTGCTTTCTATTAGTAACACTATCTTATAATAATCATTACTCCTTTCCTTATAGATGTATGCCACATAGATTTTTAATCTTTTTCACTTTTGAGGATTTTTGTTATTTTGCTTTATAGAGAACAGTACGACTCTGTGAACAGCTCTCCACAGTTATACCAAACTCACATGTTTATTACAGAAGAGGACTGGCTCTGAAAAAAATTATTCCACAGTGCATCTCAAGAGATTTCACCGACCTGATCGTTATTAACGAAGATCGTAAAACGCCAAGTATCCTTTTTTTTTTTAAAGGAAGTTTTCCCATCTGGCCTTTGCCCCCTTTTAAAATACTTGAAAGAATAGGAAAATGTTCCCTGTAACTTTCAGAACATAATTTTTTTTAAACCAGAAAATAATGTATCTCTGTTCAAGATTTTGTGAAATAATTTTTTTTCATTTAGCAAATATTCATCAAACACATGCTATTATAAGCAAGACATTATTTTAGCCTTCAGTGAAAGGTGGAGAGAGAAACAGGAGATGGTCAACTTTAGGGAATTCTAATCTAGTAGGAAAAAATAGACATGTAAACAAACAAAATTATAGTGTAGGGAGGACAGTTAGAGGAATACGGGATCCGGTGCAGACTCTGGCACCGTCTGCCCTGGGGATAGCAGGACGTATCTGGCAGAAAAAGATGCCTGAGCCCAGTCTGGATGGGTAAATGAGGCAAGGAGGGCATAGAGAGAGTACCTACTGCAGAGAGAAGGCCGTTTGGAAAGACAGAGGCTTGAAAGTGCTGCCCTACTGGGGGAATCTACAAATAGTTTGATACAGCTAGATTTTGTGTTGCCGGGGTGATATCACAGGATTGCATTTCTGACGTAGATATTTGAACCTTTATTATGTATTTACTAGTGTTTCAGATGCCAAGAATAATCTGTCCTTTTCCCGAGAGTCTCAGATCTGAGGTGAACGTGTCACCTAAACCCAGGGTGTTTCTTCCTGTTCTGAGATGAGAGATCAGATAAAGGATGCTGAGGTTTTTGTCATTGCTGCTGTTTTACTTATCCCATGGTGGCTGTGAACTCAGTAACTTTAGAGATTACCAGTCAGAATTAGTAAGGATGAATAAAAAAATGGAGTTGGTACTTTCCTGCTGCCAGGATAACATTTTTCTTAAAATCAGTGAACATTGCTTTTATAAAAATAATGGTTTTATAGAAGCCATTTTTTTAATCTTAATAACTTTTATGGCTTTTATTGTTTTAAATATAAATTGAAGACGTTATCCACTTGTGCCAGTTGCTTTTCAGAGATTAAAATAGATTAAAATTAGTTTTTTATTATGGTGTATTGTTGGTCATTTTATAATTTGGCTGGATTGTGAGTTAATGTAACAAAGTAACTAAAATCTCTTGAACACTTAACTGTAGCAGAAGAGATCTGTTTTTAAGATAGTTGCTGTCTTTTTAAAAACCACCCCCCAAAATAAGATGGTAAGGTCTATGTTCCTGTCTTTTTATTTTTGGCAGTTAAAAACCCATTATCATTTCATTACTAGCAAGCCTGCTAGTAACTCTTTGCTAAGAAGCAAGCATTTCATCAATTCAGTAAACATTCTGTCCATCTAGTGCCTTCAGAAAGCTTACATTGCTCTTTTCCTTATACTATTGTATTGTCTTTTTACCCAAAATGTATTAATATTTTTCTTGTTATCATGTTGGACACCCTAGAGAGTAAGTTAACCATCTGGTAATTAAGGGACCATCAGCATGCAGACCTAACTTATATGAAGGAAATAATTAGGCTAGTTAAAGTAATCCAAATGTGGAATTGCTTACTCCTATTCACATAAACATACGAACATACAGTCTGCCCTCCGTGTCCACGGATTCCGAATCTGCAGATTCAACCCCCCGTGGATTGAAAGTTGGGAGGGCTTACTGTGCTATGCCAGTTTATATAAGGGACTTGAGCATCCTCGGATTTTGGTATTCTTAGGGGGTCCTGGCGCCAATCCCCCACAGATACTGAGGGACAGCTGTACGCACATATTTGTCTTTGTGTCCCGAGGTTGAAATTTTTGTATACAGAATTATGCAGCAGTTTCTAGAAGTCCTAATGATTGGAAGTTTTGTAAGTAGGATCCTGCCTGGATGTTAATTTTTATAATTTCAGAGATATTTCTTTTCTGATTAATATCTAATAATGCAGCTGATGTCAGAGTATTAGTGAAAAACAGTAGGAAAATAGATCTGATTTGCTTTTGTCTTCTGTTAACATAGAATGATCTTCAGACTAAAAAGGACATTGGTAAGGGGTATCGGAAGTCCGTCTTGGTTAAAGATACTGTAAGATAAGGCACAGAGTATCTGCACAAACCGTAAATGAGGCTGTGTTTCTCTGAGGGAGAAATGAGACAGGTAAATGGAGGAAGGAGGGGGAAAGAAGACATACTGGTTAATTTTTGCCATGATCCAAAAAAAATAAAGTGGTGTAATGAAAGGGAGAACAATTTGTAAGCACCTAATAGAAATAGTGGTGATTCCTAGAGACTTAACATGGGCTCACAAAAAACAAATGACTCTTAGTGAGGGCCCTTGCAGAAAAGTCGAAAGAATTGAAGATATTTAGCCTGGGAGTTAGAATTTGGGAACGTGACAACTGTCTAAAGATACAGGAAAGGCTGCTGTGTGCCATATGGTAGAAATTTATAGGGGTATAAATTTTTGACTTATTCTAGAAAAGAATTTAGTCATCTAAACACTTGGGTCAGGTAAATGTGATGTCAAATACAAACTTCATTACTTGCTACTTTTGTGACCTTAGTAAAGTTTCTTAGCCAGTCCACTTCCTCATATTTTAAATGTGGGAAATATTACCTATCTTTAGGATTCCTGCAGGGATCCCATTAAATACATTATGTTCCTAAGGCATAGTGCCGGGTCTGTAGGAGGCATTTTACTAAATGTGGTGTAGTGGGAAGCATGGGGGCTTTTTCTGGAGAGACTTAAATCCTTTATTCATTATTTCTAAATAGAAATCTGAGGTAGGACAAGCCTTTGTGCTGTACTCTCGGCAGGTTGTAGTATGTTTTGTGTTCCCGGTCTGAGTTCTGAAGGCCACTTTCACGTCAGTCTTAGCAAAATACCTCTGTACATTTCTAAATGCAAGTTGCCAGTGAAGGGTTTGGGCTCAGGTGTAACCCCACCCCATTTGAGGTCTATGGCCACCTCACTCTGAAACTTGGGCCATTCTGCCTGACACTTCTCAAACTCTTCTTCATTACTGAAGTCAAGGTGACTCTTGTTTTGCAGTTTGTGTTAGAGATTAGCAGTAATGTAAAGCCATTTGTACAACGCAGGTACTTAGGAACTGATAAGTTTGGATTTTGCAGTTTCTTTTGACACAAACGACAAGTTAGTAGGAATGTTCCAGAAAGGATTCAAGCCTTGATTTAGGTTGAAAGAAATGATTTATACCTCTCTTAACTCCCTTAAGATTTTATGATTTTTTTTTCAATGTGCAAATAATACAGAAATACTTTTGGCTATACCTCATGAAGTTGAATCTTTGAAGGGGAGGAAAGAATCCAAACATTGACTGATAATCTGCTGTGTGGTAGGCACTGATATCTGTTGGAAATAGATCTATCTTAAGAGTTAATGGATTAGTTGGGAGGAAAGGCATTTACATGACTATATCTCAAATAAATGACAAGTGCAGTAGTCACAGTGAGCTGAGACTGTTTAGAGCTTAATTTTGACTATGTAAAAAGAGGTGTCGTTTGAAGTGGGCCTTAAAAGATGGGTAAAATAGTGCAGTATTTGAAATAGCACGAACAACACGGTTAGGAAACAATACAGGGAGAGACAGGTTAGAAAGGTGGTTTGGAGCCACATTATGAGTGCTTTGTAGATGTCTTTAATCTGCAGATGAATCTGTGGTGAGAGTAGTTTGAAATTAGCTATTAGCTAATTAGCTATAGCCATCAAGACTCAATGTGTCTAGTTTTTCACTTAGGACATGAGAAACTATAAAACTCTGGGTGGAAAATCTCAAGGACTTCAATTAAGACAATAAGGGTAAAGAGGAGGCTATAGAAGTGAGGAGCTAATGAAGGTGAAAGCAGGAAATAGAATTTGATAGGCGAGGAAACTGAAAACAATCACCATAGTTTCTGATTCAGGTAAGTGGAAGAATGTTGATGCCATTATAAAAAGATGGCAACATTTGTTTTGTAAAACTAATGGTGTGAGCAGACTTGAAACAGTCTAATTCTGACCTCGTTTTAAGGTTCAGTATTTTGAAGAATCAAGTACTATAAAGACTCGAGGTATGTTGTACCGTTTAGCTGCAGTCCAGGTTTTAAAGCCTTTGGGCTGCTAACCCTGCTGATTGTCAGTAGGTATCATCCTTCATTTGTAGTTTGGAGGTTCCAGCATAATTCTCTTTGTGGTAGAGTCAGGAAGTGGTTATTAATTGGTTGATTTTGAATTGTGGTACAGTAACCCTAAGAATTAAGAGCTTGTCTCTCGAGAACACTAATAACTGATTTCCAGAAGAGAGTTTGCGTCTCTGGTCTTGTCCTACGCTGTCTGAGCATATCCTAACCTTACAAATGTATAAAACGTGTACACAGGTGTATGAAAGTGTGCCTTTTAAGGGTTATAAAGTCTCTGAACCTGGAGGTAAACTTAGATTCTACCTGCAATGCTGCAGTTATGCTAGACTCTCACCCTTAGTCCTGTTAGAGTATTAGCAGATTTTAGCTCTTGTCGCCTTCGTTAGTTGAATGCCAAACATAACCCTGTAGAGGGTGGTGAGCTACTTATCATATTGTAAAGAGAAAAAGTAGTACTACAGGTTAATCTTTTTCTGAAACATTTAGGTTGACTTATGTATCTTGAGTTCCTGGGTATGGTAAGAAAACTTCTGTTGAGATAGAGGAATACACGCACCCTAACTCCAGTTTTTAGGAGCCTTTGGGCATACAAAGGACTAGTTATTTAACAGGGAAAGATTTATTGAGTTCAGTGTGTTCTTAGCTTTATGAACAGATGGATTGATTCTGAGTCATTTGCCAAATGGCCCAACTGCTCATTTTAAGATGAGCAGTGTTCGTCTGCGTAAAGAAATTAAGGTATGTTTTATGCATTCTTTGGTTGGCATTGGTCTCCTCATAGTATTTGATTAATAAATGCTATAGCTTACAGAGCTAATTGATTGTAATAATGGTATTTGCTCTCCTGGTTAAAGCAATAGTTTTATCCACTTACCATTTTCTTGGAGATTATAATTGAGTTATGGCAGACAGGCAATAGCCTTCATTACTATGAAATGTCACTTTTTAGTAGGACTTTCTTTTTGGTGTATTCACTGTATATTAAATAATTTTAGATACATCTTATTTCATGGGTTTGATAAGTCACATGTGGTAGTTTGTCATTAAGGTAACTAAAATTTTTCAATTTGTCATGTAAATTCCAAAACTTAAAATTGCAGTGAGATAGTTTTGCCAGTTTGTTTTTGTGACTTTTCATCATTTTTCTAGAGAAGAGGCAAGGACCCCACAGAGCACATACCTGAAATAATTCTGAACAATTTTACAACACGGCTGGGTCATTCTGTTGGACGTATGTTTGCATCTCTCTTTCCCCATAATCCTCAATTTATTGGAAGGCAGGTCGCCACTTTCCACAATCAACGGGATTATATCTTCTTCAGATTTCACAGGTGAGGAAAGTTTGGACTTCGACTTCAATCATGAACTACATTTTCTACATGAACCTGTTCTCTAATGTATTCTGACAAGTATTATAGATGAGAAATTATTTCAAACTGTCATGTTAAGTAACAGTTGGGTTCATTCAGACTAATTTCCTTAACTCTTATTTTCTTTATCTTTGAAGATACATATTCAAGAGTGAAAAGAAAGTGGGAATTCAGGAACTTGGACCACGTTTTACCTTAAAATTAAGATCTCTTCAGAAAGGAACCTTTGATTCTAAATACGGTGAATATGAATGGGTCCATAAGGTATGTGCTTACTCTTTGAAAAGCCATTTAGAGAATTTGTATTATGGAAAGAATAAAACTACACACTTTAATCTTTGGGTGTTGATACCTTAAGTTATGCTTCTGAATTCCTTCCTATGAGCTAGAAAGAACTAATCTGTGTGATAATGATGTTCTGGTCTGGCAATTAACTCTGGTTCATCTGAAGTATCCTAACGTTCAGTGGTTCTCGGAGTGGGACCAGCAGCATCACGTAGGGACCTGTTACAGAGGCATATTGTTGGGCCACATACCAACTGAAACAGCAACTTAGGGCATGGGACAGCAGTCTGTTCAGGAGCCTGTGTTGTTATGATTCTGCTGCATGCTTGAGAACTATTGCTGTAGAGGTTTTGTGTAAGTTTGGAGAGCATTTTAAATCATAAATGAAAACTTTAATATTTTTAAAACAAAACTTTTCTATCTAAGCAGTATTTCAGTTAAGTATGGTTTTTACTTAAAAAGTTTATATATATTATATACACACATATTGGAATAGTAATTTCTATTATTTTTTACATTAGACCTAAAGATTTAACTATTCAATCTCAGAGACAAATCCAGAGGGTTTTGTTTTTGTTTTTTTGTTTTTAAGCACTGTTAACCCAGAGATTGTTCACTTTTTTTCTTTACTCTAATTTTCAGCCCCGGGAAATGGATACAAGTAGAAGAAAATTCCATTTATAAAGTACTGAAGGCATAGTACTGTATTGTGCTGAACAAGACTATCTTGAATGTAGTAAGACCCTTTTCAAAATGGCGTTTAGTGATTTCATAAACCTTCTTTCATGTCTGGACCAAGTGCCATGAATTGCCACTCACTATTTATGTAGCAAATACAAATAAAGGTCATTTTGGTGAGAGTTTATAGGTTCAATTTAAGTTTCCTAAAAACTCAGTTCTCTTATTTTTAAATAATAGTGAATAATGTGAACTGGAATCAGGTTTCAAACTAACATTCCCATTTGTAACTTCATGACGTGTGGGCTTGAGAGAAATACAGTGCTTATTTGATACTGTGTAATCCACTGGTTTTCCACGAGACTCATCTTCATAGTTTTAATTGTTTCCTGAAAATATATATTGGAGGCTAGGTTTCTAAGGATGTTTTAACATTTCTTTAACCTTAAGCCTTTCAAGAAAGGTAAAAATTTTAAAGCAAAATGGTTTACCAAGGACTTGAAGCAAAGTTGCAAAGTATTGAAGCTAATCTTTTGATTGCTTTTTTCTTGGTATTTCTTTACCTCATATTGTACTGTAGGGCTTCATTTATGAATTGTCTCAGGTGCTGAAATTTTTCTTATATTTTATAATGCAATTCTTATGTCTAGTCTGTACTGTCTTTATTAGGAGACCCATCTATTGCGAAGCAAATAATTTTTAGGTATAATGGCAATACCCCACAAAGGAGTTTGTTAGAAGTTAACTAATACCAAGTTAATTAGAAAACAGTTAATCCTGTAAATAATTCATGAATAGAAACTAGTATTGTTAACAGCCTCTTCCTGACCTTAAGAGTTAAGTTTGTAACTTAACCTTTAATTCTCTAGCAGTCTTGCATAATGTATGGCATAAAGTTGTGTGAGATGAGATGGGGGAACAAACACTAAAAACTTAACCCCTGAATACTGATGGGAAAACTGTCATTTATCTTAGGTGTTCAAAACAAATTAATACATAGTGTATTTAAACCAATAATTAAACAAAAAACTTTTATACTAAGTATTTTATTGTATGCTGCTGCCAGTGTATATAAAATAATTACCCTTGTGAAAAAGAAATTCATGAAAATTCAGAGAGGTAGATGTCAAGGACTGACAAAAGTAGAAGTTTGTATAGTATGGCACGTGTTACAGAGACAGGCGTTTGTACAGGCTTCAGGTTTAGCTCTGCTTTGAATAGTCACTGGTTCATGGAAACTGGATTAGAAAACCTGAAATAGGAAAAAAAAAAAGTGAATTAGGGTAAAGTACCAAAGAACAATAGCTTTTTTCTGAATAGCAGTACATCTTACATTACTTTTGATGCATTCACTTGAATGTCAGCTTATAAAAAGTGCTTTCAATTAAACTGAGCCTGTTTTTTTTTTTTTTTTTTTAAAGCAGACATCACAGGGTTCTGTGGTGGGACGGGGGTGGATGAGAAACAGGACAGAAAATGTCTGTGGTATAAAATGTAGCTTTTCCTTAACTTCTAGAACCACTCTGAAGTATATATAATTTATAGTTTATTAGTAAACATGACTTAAAGATGCACTTGCCAAGTTCACTGCCAAAATACACTCTGGATCCTAATAGAAAAAGGTTAGTATAAAAATCTCTTGAGAAAAATGTGAACAACTCTAGAAAATGAGCAACAGTATTGAGAGCAAGATGCAATCACTTCTATTTACCTACATAAACCTATACACAAAGAGGAATGTGTACATGGATATTGACTATAGCAGTGTTTTAATAGCTAAGAACTGGAAATAGCCTAAATGCAGCTCAACAAGGGAATGGATAAATAAGCTTTGTACCTGTGATGGAATACTATACAGCAATCAAAATGACTAAACAATCTATGGATCAATACAAATCTCAAAAATAATGCAGTAATAGTTATTCCTTAAAAATTATAGCTTTAAAACTATAAAACACAATAAATACATGTAGTAAAGGTAAAAAACATGAGAATAACAACTTCAGGGTAAGTTATCTATAAGGAAAAGTAGAAAAAGTATCTTTAAAAATTAATAAGGTAAACCATTTAATTCAGGATAGTAGATACACAGTTCTTTATACTTATTTAAAAATGTGTTACTTCATTAACAAAACATGTTCAAGAAGCATAAACACAATCAGTGGTGAAAAAAGTGTTTAACTTCAGTTAATGTATTTAAATCAGTGCAAATTACAAAAGCAAGATGGGCAGAAGATAGAAGCCTGAAGTCTGTTTGGCAAGGGCTTAATAAAGCACTCAAGCTCCAGGTGGAATAGCTAAGTTTAATATTGACAGTAGTTACCAAGGTTACTAAATTTTAAATGTCATTCCTTATTGAGTAGTTTTACTTCTGGAAATTTATCTTAAAGAAATAGGTAAAGTATACCTGGATACCAGGATATTCACCTCAGTGCAGCCTCATGTTTGGAAACCTCAATATTCGATGAAGTGGAATATAACTAGGTTCTAGTACAATCACAGGAAATCTCATTTACAAAGACAATTAAATAAGAAAATTTAAATGTTTCTAAAAACACAATGGAAAAACTTCATGCTATGATCATTATTTTTAAATATTTTTTTTCTCATAATAGGAAATGTCTGTTAACAGTGGTTAATTCTGGGCGTACTAATCATGGCAACTTCTATTTTCTTTGTACTATCTGTTGCTAAATTCTCTATGCTTTTTTAAAAATTATATAAACTATATTTTTTTCAAACTGTGAGGTTAAAGACTCAAATAGATTCTTTGCATCCATGCCACTTCATGTGCCTAGGACCACCAACATCAGTATAACATGAGCCCGTATAAGAAATGCAGATTTTAGGGCCTCATCCCAGACCTACTGGATTTTAACAAAATGATTTGTAGGTAACATTCAAGTTTGAGAAGAAATGCTTTTACATGCAAATGTTCTTTTCCTAGCCAAAAGTTTCAAATCATAATATCCACAAAGCTGTGGGTTTTATAATAACTGCCAGGATTAATTGGCTTTATTTTACTTTGAAATCTGGGCTCTTATCCCGGCCATATTTTAGCCTTGAATCAAGTCATTTAAACATTCATCTGTAGACTCCTATGAAGTGAAATGATTAACAGCCAGTTAAGAAGCCAGGCCTCTGAACAGTATCTTGTATGAAAATCAACACTTTGTGAAGAGAATACATGAGGAACAGAGGTTTAAAAACCTTTATTAAACCATGAAAACATGAAATTTCCAAAAACTGCCATGAAGAATTAACACCGTCAGAAGCAAGGAACTATATTACATTGTTAAATGTGAAGGTGCTAGACTGTTAAAAAGAATTACTTCCTTAAACTCAAAGGTGGTTTCCCACCCTATGTTTCAAAAATCTTAACCAATCATTGTATTTACTGGAAACATGGTGTACTTATACAGGCTTCCTGGACCACTCCCAAATCTACAAAGCTTAATTAGGGAGGGCACAACTATGTAACGTGGTATTTTAGGAAGCAGCTTCCTGGACTCTGAGGAGTCAGAATGTTTGTAAAGGGTGTGTGCTGTACACAGAATAGCCTTTTTTTTTTTTTAAACTATTTTGCTTCTCATAGGTCAATATGAGTAAACATTGTGACTAAAATCCTATGGATTTGTAAAAAGTAGTACCCTTGGGTTACATTTTTAGTTGTCCACATCATGTCTTTTGGTCACATCTCTTTTGGCTTAACATGACACATTTTTGCACACATTGACATTTGCTCTGAAGTACACGTTAACATATAGAAGTATGCCTTAAACCAGCCCATCCCTTAGTTTTTTAATCCTCTGAAATCCAATCCACTCTCTCTGCCACCATGAATTTATATACTTTCTCTCATGTTTTATCTTTACCTAACAAACAAGAATACAAGTGAAACCTGTTATTCCGCACTCCAAATGCCAGCACCACGTCAGCTGTTCAGCTATGTCCTGAGTTTCTCTCTTGGATTCACAACTCCCAATTCTTTGCTATGCCGTTCTATTAGAACATCATAATTAATCCCAATCAATTGATGGTACTTTAAAAGTCACCACCATGAACACTGTAGATTTTTTTTTAAATGTCTAAATATTTGCTAGGTATACAAAAGTAAAACTAGTATTTGAAGACTCCAGAATATGCCGTTAAGCCAATGTTATAAAAGGTAACCTGGCTTGTCAGAACTGTGAAATTTTCTAGTAACTCCTATATCCTCTATGGTTATTAAATCCTCTACTTAACCCTCCTTATAGTAAAATAGAAACAATTAGTCTTCATGACTACTGAATCAGCAAATTTCATCAATCCTCACAAAACTGTAAACGAAGTGCCAAACAAAAGCGTACAGGATGATCTTGCTCAACTTACAAATGCTGCAAAGAAAGAGACTTGACTAGTTACTCCTACTATGTGGGGTTTGGTTAGTTTAATTTAAGGGAACTTACCTTACAAAGATTTGTTTTACTACAAAAAGGAACAGACTTTCTGGGGTCGGAAGGGATTCGTACTTGAAGATACTCCAGTCAGCAAGGGGTCATGTTGCGCATTCTGCAGACAGAACTGTTTCAAATCTGCAGCTGCCTGGGAAACCTATATATAACAAGGGGAGGGGAGGGTGGGAGGTGGTGAGAATGTTTTATTGAAGGTTTTCTCAAATCTTCAAAAATACCTGCCAATAAACACTTCTCAACTCGAAGAAGATACATACTGATTGAAGGTCAATAGTCATATACTGAGCTCTTATACTTAAAAGACTGCACATAAATAAAACTAGTACAAACAGTGTAATTGTTTACCTGTAAAGCACAGCACATCTTGCTAGTTTATCAATTAAAAGGCTGTTCTAGTGTAATCTTGAGAGTACTCAACATCTTTTTATTAAAAGCAGTACATGGGATATTATAGGTTAAACCGAAAGTGTTAAAATGCTAGTAAACTATCACTGTCTTGAAAGCAGTATGCTGGGCATATGCTACTCTGAAGGAACATCATGTTTTAAATCTGAACCATTCTGTTTACTGTTTTGAAATTATGCACCATCAGCTATTTAATGTTACAGAACTGGACAGTGACAGTTTCTGCTCAGGCTAACGTGACTGAAAGGATGGTAGCAAACTTCAGTTTATTTTAACAATCCTGCTGAGCAGCCTGCCTTTAAGGACTATATTTGTCTTAAATGTGATTTAATAATTTTCATATATATATATATATGTATATATATATATATGTATATATGCATGCAGTGCCATTCAAACAGGACTAAGGAACTTCTATGGCTTAACAGTTATTTTATGTCATGTGTCACTTAAACATTCTTACTGTTTGTATGTATTCTAGTAAGGTGTGATGCAGGATACCTAAACAATGAATAGTTCCAATGTATAACATGAATGACTAAAAGATGCCTCAAATAAAAATAAATAAAGTATCCCAACTCCTGAATTGAGGTTTTGGAAGATGAGGAAAATAATCATTTATTTTATTCTCTAACTACACTTGAGGAGGGTAGGAGCAGGTGTCCAGTCTGGCTGGGTAATATTTAGCCTTTTGAAAGGGAGCTAAGGGCGTCACAAATGCTTTCTATACAAAGAAATCTTGCAGATGACAACTGTACCCCAGACATTAACGTGATAAAAGGATCCATCATCATGAGATGAATCTAAACTCTTCTCGGAATCTTTGGCTTATACACCAGTACAGGGTCATGAGTTCCATAAATTTATTTAGTAAATGTGAAAAGTAGCTTTAAATACCTGGTACCAAGTACTACAGCAAATGGCCACCCTGCTCCTTGCAAAGGTATAGCTACAATGGGGAATGGTGGTATCACTTTTCACTATCTTATAACGTGGTTTCATTCATTCACACTAACCAGCAGTAAGGATACAGTAAAATATCCTTTAATTTTCTGCCTAAAGTGTAGATAAGCTCCAACTTAACTCCCTTTCACAAACTTCTCACCACCCCTATGTGCTGAATGTAACTGTAGGCACTGAGAATATGTTAAGAACAGCCAGGTCCCTGCTGTTATGGAGCTGGCGGTTCAGATGAAAAGACAAGACAAGGTGCTCTGCAAAAAAGAGTGGTTTGTTAGATCACGACCTAAGGGAAGGTGTCTGTGAGGAGGTGACATTGAAACTGAGATCTCAATGACAAGAGATCCAGCCAAGTAACCATCAGTGAGAAAATGATCAGTGAGAATTCCAAACAGTGGGGAGGATGGAGACAAAGCTCTGAAACTCAAACAAGCTGCTAGCCCCTAAGGTACTGTAACAGTCACCGTCCACTATGTTGAAACCCTATAATCCTGGCATAATTATCAGTGTCTTCTTTCACTTTCAAATGTGTCCTGGGTTGGGAACAAATGTATGGTTACCCGACACCTGGGAGTTTGTCAAGCATTTGTGATCATTTCTATCAACTACTAAAACATAGATGTTTAAAAAGTAAACTTGTGCTAGTTCAAAAGTAAAATGTCACTAAAAAAAAGCACCTAGCACAGTCATGGGTAAAATAGAAACACAAAATGAAATTGAACTAACCACATTTTGCAACATGTCTAAAGAAAAGCTCATTTGAAGTCCCAAGATGGGATACTTCCCCTCGCTACACACTGCCCTGGCATCAGACAAACTGAAACTTCTGAAACCAAATCACTTGTGGTGGCTTCAATGATCCTGACCAAAAGCTTCCTAAGTATAGGAGGCAGGCTTCAGACTGGGGAGTTACTGGAGGCGCTAGGGTTTTCATGGAAAAGTCCTCAGAGTACTTTAGTATGGGGACTTCACCTCATTTTCTTTGGAAAGTAGGGCTAAAAATCTCTGCTTTACACTGCTTTCAACCCGTTGGTTTTTTTTTTTTGTCCCCTCACCCCATTTTTTTTCCTTCCTGAGCCAGTCCAATCTATGATAAAGGCACACCTGAATGATAACATGATTTCAGAGTTAAATCCAGCCGAGACTAACCATAAATCGCTGGAATGAGGTAAGGATCTGGAGATTAGAGAAATGGATTCCAAACAGCGATGGAGTTTACAGCACTTAAGGGACAGGAACGAAGGGGAATCCCACCCCAAGCCTGATGGGAATTTCCCTTCCCTCCTGAGGTAACCACAACTGAGTAAACTAGATCCCTGACATTTCTACTTTAGGAAGTAAATGGGAGACGATCTTACGTGGTCCACAAACAATTCAAAAGGAAGTAAAAACTGGCCTAATCAGTAGAGAATCAAATCATATTAGGAACTGGCTATTTCTTTCAACAGAGTGCATGATTTACATTCTTCTCTGTTTCTTTTTTTAATTACAAGAAGTGTCTCATATGTAAGATGATTTGCACCAGAAAGAAGCTAATCTACTCAGGATTTTAAAAATCAGGGAACTTGGAATAGCACTCGAATGTCAGGTTGTCATATCAACGCACACAAAAGGCTTTTTCCCCAAAGTAAATATCCCAGGACAAGGTCAATGCTAACCAGACGCCAAAATAAATAACACTGGTCCACCCTAATTACTTTCTCGGATATGCGGACCAGTAGATACCCGCAAGGTCAGATCACAGCAAACTGTGCCAAACAGATACGAAATGCAAGCTTCGTACGAGCTTGTACGGGGCACCGGTGGTGACCTGAGGCACTGGGAACGTTTCCAAAACATGCTTCTTTAACTTAAAGTTACACAAGAATTCGTTTTCAAGTGTGTGTTCGGTGAGTCACAGGAGCTGGAAGTAAGAATCCTCTACTGAAGGGAGTGGATTTGGGAAAGTTCTGACATGAAAAGGAAAAAACTTGTGTTCTGAATCCAAAGTCGGATAAAACCCTGTCGGGTGACAAGACTCGGGGGAGCTGGCAGACAGGGCGGGGAAGGGTGCGGACGGCGCCTGGAGGAGCAGCTGCCGGCGAGGCCAGCCGCGGAGTCACCGCGGAGGGAAGGAGGGAGTAGGACCGGAATGCGGAAAGCCGCCGTTCAGCGCCGGGGCCAGCCCGCCTTGGAAAGTCCTGGGGCGGAAGGGCGCACAAACCGGCCCCCGAACCACAGCGCCGACCCGCGCCGCTACTT